AACACGACCCCCTCACCAGTGACCAAACTTTTTGAGTTGCTAGGTTCGCGGTCGAACGCGATGGCATGCTGAATGCGTGCACATTGTGAGGCACCTTCTGACATCCCTATTTATACGCCCTTTTTCCATCGGAGTGAGCAGGAGTTGGGCGTCAATGTGGAGGGCACATGTGGTGGACCACCGCCCACGCGACCAAAGTGCCTCCGCTTTTGATGGTGTAATTGCATTTGTAGTTGGTATACATGATGACTTACCATAGCTTCTCTTCCTCCTCCCAGACGGATCCTGAACCAACTAATTGACTTCGGGGGAAAATGCAATAACTGATTGTTTTAGGCAGAGGTTGATCTGGGAATGGGTCCCAGCACTATAGTTCATCCCCGGGTCAGTAATCTCGCTACTCAGTGCCGTGACAGTTTCCCCTTCCTCAAGTAATTGCAAGTTGGAGAAACATAAATCGGAAACTGCAGTTTTGAGGCTGACTAGGAGCAAGGGTCGGATTCAAACAACCACTTTTTTTCTATTTGCTACTTGTGTTGTCCTATTTGATGCCCTCCACCACTAGCGCTCTCTGTGTTTTAGGCACCGTCGTCGTTACCGCTGCCAACCCCGATATGAAGAATGCAGAATTGAAGCTCTCATTGAAGAAGAACTCGATCTTTATCGGACAGGTCTGCACTTATGGAGTTAAGAAGAAGGCTCAAGTCCCAGCTGACTTCTGGTAAGTCAGATATGACTGCTTACGATTACCCGGCTGCCTGAATTGTCACTTAAACTCTGGCCTGCCGTGAAGGCTTAAAGCGCAGATAGGAAGAGGGCACCGACTGTCAGAACACAGGAGGCAAGAAAGAACAGTGTGAACATCTTACTTAGAGGTTGCGGAGTCGCTCTCGAAGCAGAGCACTTTCCTGTCAGTGGAATTGATACAGTGTAGCAAAGCCATGCTGAATCCATTGGGTTCTAATGGGCAAAATTGTAAGCCTCTTTCATCGCTTTGATCGCAATCGGAATCGGGTTAGTAATTTTGCTGTTCTCGACTAACGCTGTTGCTAAGAGGCGCTGCCAGCAGTTTTTCCGGATATGCAGAAGATTATGCAGTTGCCGAACAAGGGGACGGCAACGACGCTCGGGGTGGGTGGGGTGATTGACCTCGCGCACCTGGAAAGTAAGCGTATAGGACGCCACGGTGATCATAAAAGCCACGGAGACAACGGAGCTCAGATGAACGTATAAAACACGTTGACAACGGAATAAAGTGTGAATATCCATAGAAGAGCGTACGATAATCGTGACGCTCTTCTATGGAGGATAGAAGCTGCATTAGCATGAAAAGATGTGAAATAGTGTATGAATAGCAACAGAGCACAGACGAGGACAGGAACTTCTGCAGTTTCAAGGCAGTGGGCGCGATTGCTGGGGGAATGCTATGGTGACTTGGTCACCATAGCATTCCGTTGGTGGAAGGGCCTCGGCCACATGCCGCACCTCTTTCTCAAGCCCTTCCACCAGTATTGATGCAGCAACACCGTCCCTTTCCACCAGTCGTGCCCGCTGCTTTCCCCACAGGACCCGTGTTCAGCGTCCTTCCTTATTAAACTTTGGATCACTCCGTTTGTTTTTAGCCACCATAAGATCTACCCAGGTATCGGAGACAAGTTCCTTCAGATGCTTAGCACCCCTGGCACCTATGACATGGAGAAGGTAAGTGGTAATATTCTCCTGGTTTCGGAGACTAGATATCAACTCAGAGACTCTTTTATGTCAAACCAAATTTTCAGATCGAGAAGGAGGGTCATCTATCGAACATTATTCATGTCCCTGGGATCAGCAAAAATTTGAACAACTTTGTCGTGAAGGTAAGCGTTACGGTTCTCTACGAGACCCATACAGAGATGGCAGAGCTTCATATTTATTCTTTCGCATCTTGAAGACAAGTTCTGGGTCGAATCGGGCTTATATGTATTAGAGGCAGTGAAAAGTGAGTAGTGTCCAACCTGCGGAATGAGAAACAAGGAACTGCCTTCCTAGTTCTTGGCAAGCAGACCAGGAGATGTGTTTTGTGGTAGTAAGGACCATCTAAGTAGTATTTTCAGCAAGTGAACAAATCAATAAGGTCTTGATGCTAAAGTAGCACACATATGGCCAAATGCATTGTCTTTTCGTCGCATAGCCGCAACACGTATCCTTTGATCCCACGAGTTATTCGGCGCTCATGGGCTACTGGTTGCTCCAATTGAAGAGACCTCTCTATCAGGGAATGCGAGCAGAGATGCTCCCATGCTTGTGTTTCGTCACCAAGCCTGTGGAGCGGAGTAAGCAGTAGTTTGGCTGGTTCCACCCAATCGAGATCCCATAAGGTGGGCAGGGCACAGAGCAAGGGGCGTGTCAGGGAAGCTGCGTTTAGCGCGGCGCTAGCTACTTCCCGACCTACTGTCCACTCGGCGCAAGCGCCCACAAAGTGTGGAGAACGCGCCACATCTAGGCACTCTTGACACGCCCCAGCATCCGCAATGAAACGTCATCATATCAACTAGTGCAACATTTTAAAAAAATCGCACGTATTTGTTTTTTGATTTTTCCAGCTTTTTTTTGTCCCATTGTTGTTGTTGTTGTACATTTCACTTGCTTGTCAGTTCCGCTGACGAACAATGAATTTTACAGGGTGACTGGCAGGCACAGCTTGCTATAGAGCTCGCAGGCCGAAGAATCGCACACATCAAGGCTCCATCAAACACTCCGTTGGCTCTACGTCAATTAGGCCTGCTGGTCTATCAAAAACAAGTCTTACATAATTTTGCGAGAATTAGCCAATAAAAATCACCCACAATATATGATTTGCTTGGTCTGTTTGTTTTTGTTTGAAATCCGGTTCTACCACAAGGACAACTTGAAGAGGTGGGGTCGAGGGATAGGTAGGGCATCTGACAAGATGTAAAGAGCAGCCAGCCATGGTAAGCCCCGCCCATAATGGGCGGGGCATGCGTCAGAAGTTAGCGGTTTCACTGGAAAAATTCGTAATTCAGCTACAGAGCAGCTCCGAGATGAGAGAAAGTGGGACAGGGTTAGCAAGGGGTTTGACCCATCAAATTAATAGGCCACACTCGATTACAGTGCCATCGTACAAGATGTCGTTCCCGCAGAGATTCAAAGAAGTCATGACGAGACAAACCCATTTATCTGCGGCTGCGCTGTACCCGCCCGCGGTGGAAGCGTGACCTCAAATATAAATAATTAGAAAATCGTAGTTTGGTCCTAGAGCAACACAGGGGATACGGAAATGTGGATTATAGTTCCAAGTGGTCCCCGTGGAGAAATGCAAGATACACCGTTGTAGGCGGGGCGTGCGCCGAGGCGGGGGGAGCTTGATTCAAAAGTCTGCAAAACGGTTCCAGAGCACTCCTAACAACGAGAGGAAGTGTATTTTTTGTCAGCGATGGGTCACCGGCCGAGAAATGCGAGAGACATTCGTTGTGGGTGGGGCGTGGGGGAGGGCTTGGGGTTCACAAAAAATTGACGCTTGCGATTTTCAGTTCGTAGTTCAAAACCACCCATTTTTTACCTTTGGCCGGAGTGTGTTTTCGCAGTCGTGAATGACGTCTTATGTGGAGAATATTACTAAAACTACGCAGTTGCAAGTGCCGTTCATTTCCTGAGCAAAGCTATGAAGACAGAAAGACTGGAGGTAGCTAGCAGAATGCGTCGTCTGGTTGCGTTGCTGCTGGTGGCATGACGAATGTGCTCTTCACCGACGAAAAATTTTCACGATCGAGCCTGTACACAACCACCAGAATTGTCGGCAGCTACTCAAGAAGGGTCAGCAGAAGACAACGGCAGCGAAATCCGTCGATCGCAGGCACTTTCCAGCCTCATTCGAGATCTGGGCTGGGATTTGGCCGCCGGGAAAACTCCTCTTGCCTTTATCGAACGTAACTTAAAGATCAATGCTGCCAACTACAACAGTGCGTTCTTCGCGATGTACTGAAGCCATGGACGTCGCAGCACTTTGGTTCAGATGGATTTGTGCTTCAGCAAAACTGGGCTCCAGCACATTCTGCCAAATCCACCATTGCCGTCTGCGAAGAGCTGTTTCCGGGATTTTGGGGCAAGGACATTTGGCCTTCCAACTCGCCTGATCTGAACCCGATGGATTACTCCGTTTGGTCTATCTTGGAATGGAAAATCTCAGCAGTCTGATGCGCTATTGTTGATCGCCTGAAAGCGGGACTGCGTGCTTGGGACGAAATTACAGTCGAAGTGTGCGCGACTACTTTCGGACATTTCGAAAAGCGACTGAGCAAATGTACTGAGGCTAAAAGCTAAGCAATTTTGAATAAGTGCTGTGACTTCTTCGTACACCGTTATTGCTACTGATTCAATGAAGGTTTCCAATAGTTTAGGTTTGCTGATTTACTTAATTAAATGGTATTGTTTACATGCAAAATGACATATAGAGTAGAGTTCGCTGCGGACGGTTGGCGTGTCAGGCAAGATGAATTTGGCGCGGTGCCAAACCCGTTCTCCACCAGTTGTTAAAGCGAGCAAATGATATGACTGTATCATATCGTTCGTATTACTCGTTTTCTACCACTTGTCGCATGCGCGCTTCAACAAGAAGGCAGAGAACGGCTTGACAGCGTGACACTCGCACTCATACTGCCTGACACGCCCAACCGTACGCAGCGAAGTAGAGCGTACATATTGTCCGACCACTTAGTTGGTGGTTTATAGAATAGGGTTTGTCAAATGGCTGGAGCTTCAACCAAAGATGCTCAAAGGACGTGGTCGAGCATCCACGTGCAGTGTGCCATCTTTGCGCAAGACAGGGCACATCATGGGTTGGGGATTTTTGTTGAGTCAGTACGACCTCCCACCGCCCCCACCCGTCGAGCGGGGGTGGGGAGGGGCTATATAGTACGCTAGTGCGTATGAAACAGGAAAATCAGGAAAACTCAAACCACTCCCAACACTCCTAGAAGGCCAGAAAGTAAATACGACCCCCCTCCCAACAATGAGCAAGTACGACCCCCCCCTTTTTACAACGTCCGTGAAGCGAGAAAAATCAACTATCAAAATAAATTTTTGAGCCCAAATACGACGCCCCTCTCCTGGCGGCCAGATACGTCTCAGCACCCGTTGGGAACTCCTTAACAACGATGTGTTCTGGTTAGAAAGGCTCGTACCCTAGATGCACTTCGCAATTTTACTTTTTCTTAAAACGCATGCCGAACAAATGAAAAGTAGTTTCACGTACCAGTTTAGCCATCAGGACCCCCTCACTGCTCCTTATTGAGCCTTGTGAATGAATTTTTTCTGAGAAATTTCATTTCGAATGCAGTGAAAGCAGTCAGACTGGTGGCGTTGATATGGCAACTTCATTTGAAGCACATATTGTTGTAAATAATGCGAAACATTGAGTGTGTACATAATACACATATGTACATATGTGGTGTGTTCATGTTTAGCGAGGGCATACAGTCCTCATCATTGCGGACCGGGGGGTGGCAGTGCGGCTGCGTTTGGTGCGGTTTGGCAAAATCGTTCTGCACCAGTTTTTGAAGCGGGCAAGTGCATTACTGTATATCCTTCGTATTACTCGTTTTCTACCACTTTTTGTCGCATACGCGTTGCAACAAAAAAGGCTGGTATCCTAATACAAAATGACGTACTGATGCATAAAAAGAATTTGAAAAAAGCTCTCTTTCCCTATTCTCGCAACTCCACAAGTTTCCACAATTCGGGAGTTAATAGAGCGCGCAATCGGAGAGTGAAAACTTTAGAGCTTGTGTCAGATCGGAAACACTGAAAACAGCGTGAAACCAATAACAGTTCGATGAATTCCAGAACCGGGCTCTCATTTGCTTTCTACGATCCTCACGCACTCGTAATTTGATTTACTGCATAGTACATGCACCACAATTCTGATGAAGCTCAAGAGGTGGTAGACAACCGCAGTAAAGTTGCAGCCGATCAGCTGCCGTGAAAGAACACTGTTCGGATTCGAGCATATAGTACCAAAACAGCAAGAAATTTCTCAGGAAGAGGGTATCTTGTTTCAAGCGACTCCTGTTTCGAATGCCACACATGTGACCATTTGCGGTAGCTTTTTGGCTGCCTAGGTCCCAACTCTGATATGCTGGACTAGATCACTGCGTTCACATGCATGGCAAGACGGCACTATTCAGAAGTCGCTGTCGCACGAATTTGAAGACGCTGTAGTTTTTCTTCACCTGAACTGCCGTTGAATGCGTCTTACTATATACTATTTTTACTGTTTACTTCTATTTTGAACAACTGGACCTTGTGAACGCACGCATGATTACAAAGCGTCAATGTTTCCAGTAAAAAGACAGCAGTTGACGTGGTGGACTACACAGTCGCGTTTTCCCGAACTTTACGATATAGAGTGCAAGGTCTGCAAAGTTTCCGCCTCATGTTGAAAAGCCTGCTGCAACCTTCAGGGCAAGCTCTCCAGAAGTAAAAAGTATCAGTGGCAAAGGATCCATATCGAAAAGGCAAAAGTGTCATGGTGCGTTGTTCAATCAACACGCTAAATCCATCAGACCGTTGCCAGTTGCGGATAATAGGATTTAGGTGCAAAAAGGCCTATGAATTGACATTGTAGTCAAAACGTTGTACACTGTAGTTCGCTGCGGACGTTGGGGCGTGTCAGCCAGAATGAGTGTGCACAGCAACAAAGCCGTTCTCTGCCTGTTTTGTTGAAGCGCGCATGCGACAAAAAGTGGTAGAAAACGAGTAATACGAACGATATGATACATCCTTGTCACTTGCTCGCTTCAACAACTGGTGGAGAACGAGTTTGGCACCGCGCCAAACGCAGCCGCACTGACACGCCCAACCGTCCGCAGATAACTACACTATAAAGCTTTGTCACCGTATGGCATGAAGCTTTGTCATCGTATGGCAAAGCCGCCAGCATGGATCACTAAAGTTTCCACTTGGCGCTAGTCGCAAACTTTGGGCTAACATCATGCTTTTCTGATTAGCTTCCCTTGTCTCTTGAACGCCTTGCGCAAGGGGGCACTTGGCAATGCGGAGCAGAGTGGTAGGCCTGAGTTCGTGTGGGCTCCTAGCAGAGGCTAATGCCGTTTGGACTCCAGCAATTTCGGCACCGAGCTCATTTTTAAATTGCCTAAGTCACCAAATCCGCTAAAAACTTGTATATAGGGGTAGAACATCCTGATTACGAATATGACATTCACTCTTGTCGCTGGCGCTAATGGATGACACTACGATTATCTGCGCTCTGCTAAGGCTGAGCCCAGGAGGTAATCGTAGTGTCCTCTCTTGGCGCCAGCGACAAGAGTGAATGTCATATTCGTAATCAGGATGTTAAACTACCCCTATATACAAGTTTTTAGCGGATTTGGTGACTTAGGCAATTTAAAAATGAGCTCGGTGCCGAAATTTCTGGAGTCCAAACGGCAAGCCCTTAGCAGATTCATCACCATGGAGTGTTTGCTGTTAGCTGTTGCTCTCTTGCCGTTCTTGCCGTGTGTGGAGAGAATGGATACGCGGCTGCGGAACTGTACAACATTCTCCGCTCAGAAGTGCGCGGGATCGGGCTGGAGGGTAATGGTAAGCGTGCGACTCCTCTATACCCCTCTCACACTGCTGCACAACCAGCCACACGCCTAATTACAGCCAAACGAGCTGCTTCTTGCTCCCTCTCACTTGTGGTTATTTTCTATCACTGAGTGCGAGTTTCTCTGCGAAACCTTGACGTCTGGGCAAATGCTGCACAATAAAGCGGGTAGAGTGAACGGGTGTCACTGCCCCATTCCCGTGCACTTTTG